CTTCTCCTACTATAGCTCCAAGTATTTCAAGTAAAGTTGATATTTTAAAAAACCAACGAAAAGATGATGTATTAATGAAACAACAACGAGAAATTGTACAAAGAGACATATCTGCTTCTTCTTCTTCTCAAAGCGATCATAGCCATATTATGAATGAATTAGATAAAATCATCGTCAAACATAATGATGATGTCATAAGGCATGGTGGTATAATGGCCAGGCAAAATAGTACCACTTTAGAAAATGAACAAAATTTAAAAATTTTTAGAAAAAGTAGTATGAAAAAAAATAAGAACAATAGAAATGATACCGTAAGTTGGCATAGATTCGGAAGTGGTCCAAATAATCGTGCTTCAATAAGAGGATTATTACAAAGAGTTGAAAGTTTTAGAAAAACTAAAGATCCTAAAAATACTAAAGATCTTAAAGATACTAAAGATATTGATGACATTAAAGAAGTTGATGAAAGTCCTCCCCCTGGTGGGAATGAGTCCTATCCTTATCTATAATCTATCAACTTTTAACTTTTCGTTTTAGCTTAGTATATGGGGAAAATTTATTAATTTATAATTATTTTTTGGGAAAGCTGGTTATTTTTTCATTGAATATTAGGATATAAACCATATACGATGTATATAACCCTTTTTTTATTATTAGTATATATTATTTCTTATATATTTATCTATCCATATTATTATTATTCTATTTCATTCACTTCTGAAAATGTAAAACACAATTGGTAAATCGTAAAGATTTTTTTAAAAAAAATATGGCTGAAAATGATCAAAGAAGCAACGGAAAAAAAAAGCAAACAAGCGAACAGAAAACGTAGAAAACGTACAAAACGAAAATAATCGAAAGCCCGAAAGATCAAAAGACCGAAATACAGTACCAAAAGACCGGAATATAAAAAGACCAAAATATAAAAAGATCGAAAAAATCGAAATATCGAAAGGTCGAAAAGGCAAGCTCTGAAATAAAATTCGAACACAATATTCTATACATAAATAACATTCTACCTACTATCCGAATCCTCCTCCAACACGAACCACGTATGAACCGAACTTTCTATTAAAAAAAATTTTTTTTTCCAACTAAAAATATGGCACTTCTTCGAGAAGATGCGCATTGTACATTCTTTTCTTAAAATTAAAAACTAAAACTAAAAACTGAAAATTGAAAAAACAAAAAAAACTTGTAATTATATTGTTAGTTCCATAATAGGATGGTACAGTTTTTTTTTTCACATGTAGTTTATTACATGATCGAAAAAAATATACTTTAATTTACATGTTCTAAAAAGGTAAAAAAAACGAAAAACTATTGTGTAATTGACTATTGACGATGGCGGTAGGGTTTTTTCAAACATCAAAACATTGCGATTGCGATAGACTTAATAATGCACGTGCAATTCAATCATAGATTCTGTAATCTACAGTTTATCTTAACTTTATATATATTTTGGGAATCGACCATTCTATGCTTGACTTTTCCGATCATTTTTTCATCATGCTTAATCCATTTTTGTAAAAGTATCAAACAAATAAATTATTATAAAACCCTGTTTCTGTACAACATTTTTAATTATTATCGAGAAACTCCCTTTCCCTCCAGGATAATCAAATATTCTATACATTCGTTTTCAGTAAATAATTCTGAAGAATTCTAATTATATAATTCTGAGAAGGATGTTAAGTTTACCAAAGAAAAACTCAAGTCTTGAAATTATTTTTGATGATGATACTTGTGTAATGCATGGATTACCCGAAGAATCCGATGGTTGTAAATTAAAAGGAAAAGTAATATTGGTTAATAATAAACGATTAAAAATTAAAAGTTTTAGTTTTACTTTTATCGGAAAAACAAATGTTAATTGTGGTCCTTTTATTTCTTCTTCAAGACCTGAATGTATGTTATAATATTCGCTCGTTTTTTAAATAATAACGTTATTAGTATTAATAATGTTACTACAGTCTCTACCCTCATTATAACGGACTCCGTTATAGCGGATACCTCGTTTATAATGGAGCATTTTTTTTTCTATAATAATTTAAATTTTTTTTATTATTATACTAAATAACGCTATAGCGGATATTCATAATAACAGACAGGATTTCTCAACTCGATCATTACGTTATAACGAGGGTAGACTGCATATGTTAATAATGTGTTAGTAATATTATACCAACATTACTAATATAATAATTTTTACTTATAATAATCAGATAATGAATCACAAACAATGTGTCGAAGAGAATGTTTATTTCCTTCACCTTCTCAAATTCCTCCTGGTATCCACGAATTTGAATTTGAAGTCGATCTCCCTGGTCATTTACCCGCTTCCTTTAAGGGAACACGAGGAAAAATTGAATATTGGTGTTATGTAACCATAGCACGTCCAATGTTTCATGCTGATATTTCAATAAAAAAACCTGTCATCATTCAACGTTCTTTAGTACCTAATGATATATTAACATCTCCAACTGCTTTACAAGGTCATTTAACAACTTTCACCGAAGGTATATTAGATGATAAAGTTCAATACTCTATTAATGCTCCAATAATGGCTTTTAGGGAAGGTGGGTTGGTTTCTGTACAATTAGAATTGAAACCATTAAATTC